GTAAAAAATTGATTAATGATAAAATATGGCACGAAGGTGTAAAACAGGGGTATAAATTGAGGATTTTTCTCAAAATTGGATAAATTCTGACAATTTGGTGAATTTGGGGTAAAAAAATGGAATCAACCCCTTTCTTTTACAAACTGTATGTGCTCGCATTGTTTAAAATATTCTATTGTTTTGGAAGTAGTAAAATTCTTGAGCTATGTATCTATGTATCATCTATTGAATTCCTTCCAAAAAATGTATAATCTATTGAACTTTGTGTCACTCCTTTAAAAGTGCTACAATGATCAATTTGCTTTGTTCCTTAGAAATAAACGGATAAATAGTGCTAATTCCTTTATTTTATTCTCAAATGGCTAAGGAGCTGGTTCAAAACCAAATTTTGAACACTGTCGGAAATACTCCCTATGTTCTTTAATAACTAGACGAGTCCCGCGCGTTGCCGCGGAACAACCGTATATCTCTACGCATAAAATCATCGTTTTCGTAGAACTAAAAAAACTCTATAACTGTATGACAATGTGGTAGTCAAATTAAAAAAACTCCCATCATCAAGTGTGAGAAATATAGATCATCCCACGTAAGAAAAGGAGATCAGCCAACTCCTACTGCATAATGGGATTATATTTTCTTTTTGACATGTTGATGGGATTTAAAGCTCACTCACATGCATGCTACCGGTGCATGCTTGCATGCGGGGACATGTTGATGGGATTTAAAACCCACTCACATGCATGCGACCGTAAGTTTCTCCATGCTTGCATGCGGCTTAGTGCGGAGCCTTTCAACGTCTAGATCACACGGCTAATATGGACTGATTTAGTTTATCTAACGGCTACATTAATTTTGATGATGTGGCTCAAGGAGAAGGTAGAGAATTCCTATTAGTGGGGGCTAGCTATTTAGATATAGTAGATATACCAGTACATATAATTTTTCCTGAAAGTTAAACCTTGTGAAGTTTGACTCAATCTGTTAATAGAAGAAAAAAAATCTACACCTAGAATACAAAGTACATGTCACGAGATACCTCACAGGTCAAAATTTTCATACTCCGCAATTAACCAGGCTAGGTGCAGTTACAAATATATATTGTCGCGATGTAAAGCTGTGAGATGTGAACTGCCAACTTAATTTCTCTTCCAAAACAACGTTAGGTGGAGTAGATTGGCACGGATAGGGTCATCAATTTTGATGAACATATTGGTCAAGTGTTCGAATCTGATCTTTTAATCACTTGATTGAACTGAGGATATAGCCAATGGTTTTACTAAAAGTAGAACTCAACTTGCGCTCATGTTTGTCAAAACTCTTCAGTTTAAAAACAAAACATATTCTTCCACTACATAATGCAGCAGCGGTGACCTCAATTCCTGTGTCAGTCTTGGCTTTTCTTTTTCTTGTCAATCACTGATGGCTGCTAACTGAGGCATGATTGAGCTAAAATAATAACCATACGTAGTACTCTCTCTTTTTTGCGAATGGACCATACATAACACCCGGGACACCATGAAAATGTCGATCAATACCGTCACAGTGAGTGGGAGTGGAATATTTCCATATAAATCATTCACTGTCCTGACATCACGAAAAATGACGTGGTCTGAGTCTGATCATGATGTGCCGCGTTAACCGGGTTAGGCGGAGTAGCACAATGTCAAACCGTAAGGTGTGAACTGCCAATTTTAATTTCCTTGCAGAAATAGATCAGCATCAGCATGCACACAAAGTCATCAGTGTCAATAGAAATATTGGTCAAGTATTCAGTTCGTTTGATCTTTCAGTCACTTGAATCCAATGAGGATAGAGCCAATGGTTTTTTTTTTTGAAAGATCCAGCTTTTCACTGGCATTTCATTAATAAGCAGGGAGCAGTGGGAAAACAAAAGGTAGGGAGATGATCCAGGGGATCAGAGCGCTTGCCACAGATCGGCAATCCTCGAACGATAGAAAATCTAGGGTTTATATCTCATGATGGTTCCCCAAAGGGGCTCTCGATGCAGGATGCACCTGCGGCTCGCCATAGCTCGATGCAGTCTGTCACCCTTGTGATGATGTTGGATGCCCTTGGGGGGGGGGGGTTCTGAAGGTGGCGTTGTTCCGTTCCTGCCATATCTCCTAGCAAACCAGCAAAAGCATAGTGTTGATGCCTTTTCGCCATCCTGGTGCGGCCCTGTCTAGGGCGGCGATCGCAATGGAGGAGTGCTGGAGGTCTCGCCAGCTCTCAGCCGGAGCTAACGAGGCGCAGCCCGTCCGTGAGCTAATCGCTTCCCAGACGCCCTTGGCCATTGGGCACTCCCAGAACAGATGCTTCGAGGATTCAAGATTTCGAGTGCATAGCTGGCAGAAGTACTCGTTCTTCCAGCCGCGGCGTTGAAGTCTGTCATTGCACCACAATCTGTTTTGCAGCATGAGCCAAGCAAACATCTTGATCTTCCCGGGGCCCAAGCATTCCATATGATCTTGCCGAAAACCGAGGACGTCATGCCCTGGAACCCTCGAGGATCAAGGACCTAGCCCATGGTTGTACTGAACACCCGATAGGCTGATGAAGCCGAGTATTCGCCCGTCCGCTCAAGGATCCATCTAATGGAGTCAGGGGTGCCCGCATGGAGATCGTCAGCTACGCCATGGAGTCGCCTATGCAAGGCCAGGACGTCGTGGATCAGATGTTCAGTACAACCATGAGCTAGGTCCTTGATCCAGTTGTCGTCTGCCAGGGCCTCCTTCACCGCCCTGTTCTTTCTTCGGGCATGCCGAGCCAGGCGCGGGTATTGCTGGGCGAGCGTGCCCGGCCCCATCCAGTGGGAGTGCCAGAAGGACGCTGTCGCGCCATCGCCGATGCTAACCGAGGTGGCCGTCGTGAAGAGGGAGAGGTCGTCGTCATTGCATATGTAACCTTTGTCCCGAAGGCGCGGGACGATTTGTTTGACCAGCAGGTCATTATGTCATTAGTGACATGGCTAAATTGTCTTTGTTGACATTTTCTGATGTTGTATGTGCGCTGCGAGCACGGTGGCGCTGCAAGTTAAAACGGCCACGCCTCCGCTCACCACCGCCGCACATCTCCACCGAAAGTGGAACCCCCGTTTGCTCGCGCGTCGGCTGGTTTCTGGCTCTGCCGCCCTGCCTGCTTCTCCCGATCCCCTTCCGAGGTAACCCGTTAGCTTGGCTGCCTCAGCACTGTCTCACACCACCGACCCACCCTTTCAGTTCCGTGGAGATTCCAGTTGGTTCGTACGACCAAACCTCTGGTTCTATCTTCTGTGCCTCAGTCAAACCTGCCCTGCCTTCTGAATTCACTCTTATTTATTTGCTTATTCGTTTGCACCACTGTTAATGATTTAGCATAAAAAAGGAATGGATTCTACAACCTAACCCCTTCCGTGGCCATCTTGTTTTTTGCAGTTTAGTTGGCCGGCATGGCTGCTGAATGCGAGAGCTGCAACTGCAGTGCCTGGGCAGCAAATGATCCCTCTGGAGTACTCTCCCCTCACAGTTTCAACCGTAGGTAATCAAACACGCAACACTCCCTTCCCTTGTGAGATTTTATTTACAAGGAAAAGTCAACGTGCCAGATATAGACATCTACTTTGTGCTAGCCCAGTTATGTGTTTATCTTTCTTCTCTGAATACATATAGACTTCTACTGTATGTGCTAGCCCAGTTATTCATCGGTGTAAATTATGAGCAGACATCCTTGCGGATGCCGACCGAATTAACTGCTTTGTTAGCGTCTCACTTTCTTCTTATAACTAGCGACTATGCATATGCTACACTGATTAATTACCAGGGCTGTACGACATGATGATGTTTCTTTGAGGATCACACACTGCGGTGTCTGTTTTGCTGATGTTCAGTGGACAAGAAATTTGCACCATGACTCGGTGTACCCTTTAGTCCCTGGGTAAGCTTTTCAGATCACTGTATTTGTTTCAAAAAAAATTTGGGAACAACAAATGCATTTTTCCCTTTCTGTTGATTGACCCCGTTTAGTCACTAGAATCCTGTACTACAAATAAAGGTTTATCTGCTAACCTACTATTCGATGTGGTTATAGGCATGAGATTGCTGGAGTTGTAACCGAGGTCGGTTCAGACGTCATGGACTTCAAACTGGGCGACCATGTGGCTGTTGGGACATACATCAACTCATGCCGTGACTGTGACAACTGCAACAGCCTCCTCGAGAACCACTGCTCAAATTTTGTTTTCACTTTCAATGGTGTTGATACGGACGGTACTGTCACAAAGGGAGGATATTCCAGTCACATTGTAGTTCATGAACGGTATGGATGCATTCTCTACTGAAAGTTCTGAATTTGGTGTAGATTGTCTATGTCCATCTTTTTTGCCTCCAAGTCAAAACTCAATTTTCTCGTATAATAAGAATCTTGCATTTCCTGCTAATTCGTGACAGGTACTGCTATAAAATACCTGATGGCTACCCACTGGAAAAGGCCGCACCTTTAGCTTGTGCTGGGATCACTGTGTATACACCGATGATACGGCATAACATGAACCAGCCAGGAAAATCACTTGGTGTCATTGGTCTTGGTGGGTTGGGTCACATGGCAGTGAAATTTGGGAAAGCCTTTGGACTGAATGTGACAGTTTTGAGTACAAGTGAATCGAAAAGAGATGAAGCTATCAACCTTCTTGGTGCAGATAATTTTGTGGTATCATCAGATAAAAACCAGATGGAGGTACTGAACATCTTTAATATCTTTAAAGCTGAGTCTGAAACAACTTACAACAGACCACAACAAGTACATATCTCCTTACCTTATGTTATATTCCAACTGAGAAAACATAAATGCACAAAGGATCAGAGCTTATTATGCAATCGATAGTGCTTATACTATTTTGTGCTAGCTGAATTCTGCTTGTTATTCTTCTCACTATGCTTATACTAAGTGAGAATAATGAAATGATTTACTTTTGCAGTCCCTGAAAAATTCTCTGGATTTCATTGTCGATACTGCCTCTGGTGACCACCCATTTGACCCTTATCTCGCGCTTCTGAAAGTCCGTGGCGTAATGGCACTAGTTGGCTTTCCTGGAGAAATCAGAGTGCATCCTGCATCACTCAATCTTGGTAAAAAAACCTTACTATTAGCTATACAGTTAAAATAATTGCAGGGTGAAAAGTTCCATTATTTTTATCTTTTATGGTTCTATGCATGAGACTGTATGCCGTAGAACACACCACTGGTTGTTGGTTTCCTGGTTCAAAACTTGGCGACGACTTGAGGATATATAAGCATACAAATGTTGTTACCGGTGTTTTCGTGTAATGAAACTGGCTTTCGGCCCTTTGTCAAAAGATAACTAATCAGAACTCACTGCAGGTGCACGGACTCTATCTGGCAGTGTAGTCGGAGGCACCAAGGACACCCAGGAGATGATAAACTTCTGCGCGGTAAACAAAATATACCCAAATGTTGAGGTGATAAAAATAGACTACATCAACGAGGCTCTCGAGAGGCTTGTCAACCGGGATGTGAAGTATCGGTTTGTAATCGACATAGAGAGCTCTTTCAAGTAATATCTTCACGGTTGGCACATTTTCGAATCCTTATAAAAGTGTGTAGAATAAAGTTGAATCTTGCAAACAATCGCGGCTGACTAGTGATAGAGGGCTTTCCTCTGTAATGTGATGGTATGCTTTCCGGTCCGTGATAGAAGATTGTTGTGAAGATACGCATATTACTTTCAGAAAATATGTAAATAGACCTCCTATGGATGCTCAATTATTGTAGTATCAAAATTTCTGAATTTTCGACTGATCAACACGTGAGCAACGGTCAGATTGAAGAGAGGAAATAATGTCCAAAACAGCTGAAGCCAGTAGGACCTTTGATAGACAATATTGGAAAATTTTACCTCACTTATTTCCGGGGCTGATCAAGAACCTGCATCACAGAAGCAAATATCATGTCACTATACGTTTCGAGCTTCGACAAACTATTTGGAAACAATTTATGTTTAGACAAAAATGAATCAAATCTCCTATTTTAGCTATAAAACAAGAGCCCCGCTTTGGTACCCCCCCCCCCCAGAAATCGTATAAAGGGCAATATGGACCTTTGACATATCGTACACAATTTTGTATGATGGGTCACCCGACGTATATGGACGTACGTGGCGACAATACAGTGTTATGTGCACCTTGGCAGGCCCAGCCCATTTATGTTTTTTTTTAAACTTCAAAAAATACAGGTTCCACCTATAGTACTGAAGGCGCTAACCACTGGGGTACTTTAACTATTGTGCTAGTGTACTTATTTCCTCCTTATGGCAGCTATAACCAGTGGCGGAGCCTGAATATAGAGGAGGCCAAAACATGTCATATAATGTTAGAGGGGGCCAAATCACCTAAATCTAGCTAATTTTCTCTAACAAATGAAGGATTAGGAGTACATATAGGTGTATTTGTGAGAGCATGGGGGGGGCAAGGCCCCTGCCAGCAACCCCCTGCCTCCGCCACTGGGTATAACGCTAATAAAAAAAGCACGCGTTCCCGGACTGATTTTATTCAGTTCAGCCGTTTTTATTCTGGGTTTTTTCGTTTTCTCTTATTTCTTTCTATATTTTCGTTTTCCTTTCTTAAATCGGAATTCTTTTTAAATGAATTTAATTTTTTTCAAATTTCGTGAACATCATTTCACAAATTTCATGAACTTATTTTCAAATCCATGAACATTTTGAAATTCATGAACTTTATCAAATTCAGTGGGTTTTTTAGTTCATGAAGTTCTTAAAAATTCATGCACTTTATAAATTTTCATGAACTTAATTTTCAAATTAGTGAACTTTTTTGAGATTATGTGAACATTATTCGCATTTGTAGATTTTCAAAGTCATGAACTTTTTCGAATTTCATGATTTGTTTATCAAATTTGTGATTTGTTTGAATTTTTGTGATTTTGTTTCAAATTCATGAACATTTTTAATATTTGGGAACATATTTTGGAATTTCATGGCCTCATTTTAAAAAATTTGAACTTTTATAGAAAAATTACAAAGTTTTTAAACATATCATGAATTCTTTTAAATTTATGCACCTTTTCTAGGCTCGCGAACTTTTTTCAAATTCGTGACCTTTTTGTGTCCGCTTTTATTTCAAATTCGTGAATTTAAAAAAATCATGAGCACATGGAACTTTTTTCCAGCGGTCAGCAACATATCCTAATCCATGTGCTCATACGCTCACCCGCGCCTGCTCACATGCTCGGCCGCTCAGTGTGAGAGCCGCATTGCTGGGCTGGCCAAAAAATCCTATCGCGTGAGCGCTGAATGGCTTACCTGGCGCAACAAGCGCTCATTAGGAGCTCCCTACATTCGGGGAGTAGCATCAAATAGACTGCGCCACGCACAGGAGGCTGCCCGACTGGGCCCGCCTATGAAGCTGGAAGGATGACTACCATGGGCATGCCCACCTGCTCGAAAAGGTTGTGACCATGTTAAGATGTTCAAAACTAAACCATGTTAAATGTAGAGTGTTCAGGTTGTCCAGAAGGCTCCGTCTGAGAGCATGTTGTTTTCCAACTTCCTTCAAATGGCCCCATATTTTCCACCAGCTTATATGACCAATTCAAGGCACCATGCCGAAGTTGTTTGTGTTTTGGGAGATTCTTGCATTTTGGAGTTTTCTAGGTGAAAATGGTCGATAAATGGCCAGACATGACGCAACTTGTATACGGTGTCAGAATTCATTAAAATCTGGCATGGATGCCTACTATAGGCATGCGCATCTACTGAAAAACGTTGGGGGTCATTTGACACATGTCCTAAAAAATAAAGTTGAATGGAGTGTGTTCGCTTTGGTGAGAAGGCTCCGTCCAAGAGCACGTTGTCTCTTGACATCCTTGAAATGAGCCAATTTTTTCCATGAGTTTATATGGCCAATTAAAGGCACCATGCCATGTTTTCTTAGTTTTAGACAATTTTTGTGTTTTCTGGAGTCTTCTCGATCAAAAAAGGCCGATAAATGGCCGGACATGTCGCACTTGCATATGATGTCGAAAATCGTTCAAACCTGGCATGCATGCCTATCATGGGCATTCCCACCTACTTGCAAAATTTTGGGTCATTTTAAGAATGTCTGAAAGTAGATCATGTTCAACGGTGGGTGTTTGGCTAGGCGAGAAGGGTCCGTTTGAAAGCATGTTCTTTTGACATCCGTTAAATGGCCCCAATTTTTTTTCCACCATCATCTATGACCAATACAAGGCACCATGCCAAGTTCTTCGAGTTTTTGACAATTCTTGCACTTTTTTTCGAGTTTTCTTGGTGAAAATTCGCCAATAAATGGCCAAACGTGACACAACTTGCATACGATGTCAGAATTAGTTCAAACCTAGCATGGATGCCTCATATGTCCGTGCCAGGTTGCTGCAGGAAGTTGAGATCATTTACCAATTGTCCAAAAAACCACCAGTTTAGAGGAGTGTGCTAGACTAGGCCGGATAGGTGCATCTATGAGTATGTTCTTTTTCCAAATTTGATTGCATTTGTTATTTGCAATTTCCTTCATTATCAATCAACATAAACATTCTTTTATATCCTAACTATTTCTTTAAATTTCTTAACAGTTTTGTAATTTCAAATTGTGTATGAAAATTTTACAAACTTGAACACTTTTTCCAAAAAAATTACCAAGTTCCCAACAATTGATATTAAACACAAATTGCAAATAACGTACTTTTTCTTAAAATTTATCAACTTTTTTAAAATGCAAACATTTCTTCAATTTGGGAACAAACAATTAAAAATAGGCACATTTTTTGAAATTCAAGAACATTTATTTAAAATGTAACAGTATATGAAAACAAGAAAAAAGTTTGGTATTCCAAATAATATTTCAAATATTTTAAGGTTTCAAAAACAATAATAAATTTCAAAAATGATAAAAATGAATTAACAAGAAAAGAAAGAAACATGAAAAATAGAAATTAAACGCTTAGGCCTTGGCCCAACTAGGCGACCGCATTGCTCCCCGTTGGGTGCCTATTGGGCCAGCCCAAGCGTTAGCAGATTTGAATAAAGTTCATCAATTTTTAAAAAAATGCTCACGAATTTAAAACAATTGCAGGTTTTAAAAAAAAGTTCGTCAAAGTTAAAAGGAGTTTGTGGATTTGAGAAAAAGTTCACGGATTTGAAAACAAAGTTCATGAATTTAAGATAATGTTCACAAATTTAAGAAGTTGACAATTTTAAGAAATAATCCATGATTTAAAATAGTTCATGAATTTAAAAAAATAATGAAAGAGAAAAATAAAATAACAAAAGAAATAGCGGACAAACAAAAACCAAAAAAAAGAAACAAGCTCGCATTGGTTAGTGTTATATTTGAAAAGGAAAAAAAGGTAACTAGACACAATAAGAAAGTAGTCCAGTTGATTATTGCGGTAGGTGTTGGGTTCGAATCCTATCAGACACACATTTATTGAAGGTTTTAAATAAGTGGGAAAAAGGTAGCAAATGGGCCAGCCCAAGTGGCACGACACACAAGCCGTGTATAGCGCGGTGCGGGCGACGTATTTTAAGAAGAGACCATCCTACCACTTATTTTGAAGGGGTGTGGAGAGATCTCAGCGCTCAATGTGTTTAGGGGTGGGATGTACCGAAGCAGAAGTGACAAAATAAACATGAATGATGCACCAATATGTCGATGCCTATATAAAGTTTGCTTACTTCTCTTGTAGACTGACATGTCTCACTACTACAGGATGCTGTGAACATGACAATATAATCAGAGACCTTCGACGAAATTATATGTGATGCATTAATGCAAACGGTGTTTCTGTAGTTCTTCAGTATATGTACTTGTGCATCAAATTATGCATTCATTCTTGAACCTATATTTATAATAAACATGGTTTGATATGAAAAAAGTGATTGTCTACTTTCAAATTCAAAATCTATGAATTTTAAATGCAGGAAATAAATTAGGGATAAATTATATTCTGTAGGCCAGTACACTGCACACGGTTTGCGAAAGCAAAACGTATGTGATAAACATCAAGACTAGACACGTTTCTCAAATCTACTACGTGTGCGATGAATCTCCACTGCACACACGATTAGCCAAGAAAAATGTGTGAGATTGACAACAGCAATGCACACAGCTCCTTATTAAATGTTTGCGAAAGTTACCTTATCACACACGCTTGGCAATTATTGACTGTTTATGATGTCGTACGCATCGTAAACGTTTGCTCATAGAAGAACACGTGTGATAGGCCTTCATCCGAGGCGGGTACGACGGATGAATCATGTGGGATATATTTAAGATTCACATATATATTTTTATAGGGACAAGTATATGCACTCATACAATGAATCGCATACAGTTGAGGAAAAGTAAATGTGTGTGATTGTCTGTTTATCATACACGTTCTACAATCGTGAACTGTTTGTGATGGGGCGTGCATCGCAAACGTAGCACCACAGAATACCTACTACGATGATAATGCGAGCACAAACGAGTAGGAAGGATGGAGCGTTTGGGATATTCTACATATCAGAAATAGTTGTCTAAAGACTCGCATTCGGGATAGATGCCGGCATCGCATACGCTTATTATGCAAAACGTATGCATTGCCACTTCTTATCCCCGACGGTTTCTGGGTCATATGGAAAGGACCCCCTATCACACACACTGGCAAGACGACGGTTTAAAATGCCGTCGCAAAAAGGGTTTAGAAACCGTTTGTATAGCAACTCATTGTACTAGTGTTTGCTACACAGTTGTGAACACATTTTTTTTCTTTGTCTTTCTTTGCGAGAAAATTTTTGATCTATTCATCTTCAATCATATCAATACAATAAACATCAAAAATAATAAAAATTACATCCAGATTCGTAGACCACCTAGCGACGACTACAAACACTCCTCCACAAAATACATGTTGGAGGCATGTCCTCCGGGGGGTACTACATCACATATATGTATTGATCATAATTCTAATGTATTTCTTTCAAAAGAAACAAAAAAGGAAGAGAAGATGATGCCGAGGAAGAAAAGAAGAAAATGCAAGAAAGATGTCTCAATAAGGAGCTGTTGAAGTGTATATGTGGATTGGCTAGCCCTTTCTATCAATTCGGACTTTTGGTTGTGTTGGCTAGTGTTGGAAATATGCTCTAGAGGCAATAATATTTATATTATTATATTTTCTTATTCATAATTCAAGAGTTTATATTCTATGTTATAATTGCTATGATCCTGGAATACATGATTAAGTGGAAAACTCATATGCACGTGTGGAATGAGAAACGATTAAATAAAAGATTCCTAGTCTTGCCTACAGGACTAGCTCAAGCGTTGTTGGCGATCATATTTTTCGAATTTTAAGATATTGTTAAGTATCAAACAATAGCCCTAAAAAAACATTGAGATTATGACATTGAAAGAATGATCATATTGAATCGACCCAAATTTGTCTGCTATGAATTGAGTAATATTGTCTATAATCAATTGTAATAACACGAAGTGTTAACATGTGATTTTGCTCCTTAGACCATGAGAGTATTGTAGTCACTTCTTACCGTAAGGTGAGCTTTGGGGTTGCTCAAATGTCACCTGTAACACGGTGATCATAACGACAACTTACAGGTTCATCCGAAAGTTTGACAAGGGACTAGATAGCTCAAGAGTGAGGTTTGCTCCTCCGGCAATGGAGAGATATTCTTAGGGCCCTCTCGGTGTGATGGCGTCCATAATCATCTAGCCAGACACAAGTGACTATGTCACGGGGATACATGCTTATAATAAGAACTTGCAGGACATCTTTTGTCCTACCCTCCCGTGACAGCGGGGTCCATAAGAAAATCTAAGGGATATTAAGGCCTCCTTTTAATAGACAACCGGAACAAAGCATTAGCATATGAGGAATACATTAACTCCTCAGACTACGGTAATCACCAGAAAGAATCCCAATTAATGTCACGATGGTGTATGAGGATCATAACACGTAATAGGTGAATACAACTTGCAAGATAGGATCAATAACTCAAATATATTCATGAAAACATAGACGGTTCTGATCTGAAATCATGACACTCGGGCCCTAGTGACAAGCATTAAGCATAGCAAGGTCATAGCAACATCAATCTCAGAACATAGTGGATACTAGGGATCAAGCCCTAACAAATTGACTCGATTACATGACAAATCTCACCCAACCCCATCACCGTCCAGCAAGTGTACGAAGGAATTACTCACTCCCGATGGTGAGCATCATGAAATTGGTGATAGAGAAGGGTTGGTGGTAATGATGGCGATGAACCCCCCTCTCCGGAGCCCCGAACGGACTCCAGATCAGCCCTCCTGATGAAGAATAGGAGATGGTAGTGACTCCGTATCATAAAACGCAATGAAACTTCTTCTCTTATTTTTTTTTACTCGGGAAGACGGTATTTATAGACTTAAGATTAGGGTCAGCGGAGCCACGTGGGCCCCATGAGGTAACATGGGCGCGCCTAGGGGGTGGTCGCGCCCTGTTGCCTTATGGGAAACTGGTGGCCCCCTCATGTGGATATTCACTCCATTATTTTATATATGTTCCATATAAAATCTCCAAAAAGTTTCGTCCAATTCTGAGAACTTTTATTTTTGCACAAAAATAACACAATGATAGTTCTGCTGAAAACAGCGTCAGTTCAGGTTAGTTTCATTTAAATCGTGCAAATTACAGTCCAAAACAAGAGCAAAAGTGTTTGGAAAAATAGATACGACGGAGTTGTATCAATGAGCTAAGACGTTGGGCGGCGGAGGAGGATTCGGCGGTTGCGGGGGCGGCGTTCACACCCTATAAAATAGATCGAGGAAGTAGCTCGATCGAGAGAGGAGTCGTGCAGTGTGTTTTTTTCCCGTCGGTGTTCGAGAGGACTTCGTTTGGCCGATTTTTCTCTATTACGTGCGAGGAGGCATCATTCCCTGGTTTTTGCTACGTGGGAGGGGAGCGTTTTGGCGGGAGGAAAGACAAAAAAACCAGACAAAGGTGGGAGGAGAAACGAATAAAAGCCAAACGAAGATGAGAGGAGAGATGAAAATAAACCGTGGAGCGAAGACTACCGAGTCCCCCTTTAGGAATACATATATATGTCAGTAGGAACATTTCCTACTGTCTTGAATGCTAAGAAAACCAAGAACACTATGAAGATGGCGGTAACAATCAAACTCACCGACGAGCAGAGTAGCGAAAGCAGTGACGAGTCGTGCAGCGCGACGATTGCCACCGATTCCCATAGCTAGGTTTTAGCTCCTAGTCGCGAGAATGTTCCCCAAGACAAGAGTCGAATTGAGGTATCTACGCATTTCGAAGTCCGGCAGAATTTAGACGTCCAGGAAGAACTCTGAGAAAACTAGAGAGAGAAAGCCTAGCAACACTTCTCATCTAATTAAGAGTCTAATTCTATTAGACCAATTAGACCAAGATTAGAGCACATCTAATTAGAATCTTAAACACTTAGGCCAATCAGACCGAGAGAGCGTGGAGCTATGCGGGAGAGATCCCCTTTGGATTGGTGTGTTGCAATAGGGAGCCTTCCACACATATATAAAGGTGGAGAGGGAAGGGGGCCCAACAGGAGCAATCCTTCTGCTCTTCCATTTCGTGAAAGCAGGGAAGGACTCCCTCCTTAATAGGATTCGGTATAGGCCTTCCTTAGGGAGGTGGCACCCTATGTGGGCCCCACTAGGACAACTACGGGTGGTCATCTCATGACAGTTATTCACAACTTTCTTACACAAATAAAATCTCATATTTTCCAGATGTCCTCGGAACCCATTACGAGACCCCCTCCCAACTTTTAATATACAAATCCAGACTTTGCAAAATCATGTTAAACTTTTTGACAATTGAGCAAATTTTCTATAAATTCAAATCAATCTTTAGACTGTTGGTTCTTAATTGGGTTCCAATCTTCATCCCGCTTCCCTTGTTAGATATCTAAAGCCACTAGCCATCCACACATTTCTCAAATGTGCTGCTAGGTGTAGCTATCCACCTATTTCTCAAACGCACTGCCAAGCGGCGCTAGCCCTCTATCCTTATTGCCCACATTTCTCGACCCTCCATCATAGTCACAGATGTCATTTCCTTGTCTGCACGTGTCTAATTATGCTATCTCCACCATCTCCCACCGCCAACTGCCCACCGCTCACCTAAGTCGTCGCAAATCCCCTTGGATGCAACACATATATGCTATTCAAATTCTATTAAATGCAGTTAATTTCAAATTGCTGGTGATAGCCTATAGCTTCAGCCTGAATTTGGTTCTTACCTCCCTTTCGGTAGACCTCCAGACCTTAAACCTAGCCAGTCTATTGCCAGATGCGTCGCTAGGAAATGGTCACCTTCTTCACCCCCCTCATGAATGCAATTAAATGCCTTCCATAGTCTTGTGTGTGGATTTAGGTAACCAACTTTTTCCAGCCAAGTAAATTTTCTACAAATTCAAATGTTTGGATCTAAATCGTGTTCATATCTTCACCCCGCTTCCCTTTTTAGATCTCTAAACCCTAAACTAGTCATCTACCTATTTCTCAAACACGTCGCTAAGTAGCACTCGCCATCTATCCTTCTTGCCCTAATTTTTCGCACCACCACCATAGTTGTAGATGTCATTTCCTTGTCTATCATGCCTCTAAGTGTCTGATTAAGCTTCTCCACCATATCCCACCTCTCACCTAAGTCACCGCAAACCCCCTTGGACGCACATATATGTTATTCGGATTCTAATCTCTGTAGTTAGTTTCAATTTATTGGGGACAGCTTAGCTTAAACCTAAATCTGGTTCATATCTCCCTTTTGCTAGACCTCTAAACCTTAAACCTAGCCAGCCTATCGCCACACGCGCCGCTAGGAAATGGACACCTTCTTTCTCCCCTCGCGAATGCAATTCAATGGCCTTCCGTATAGTCGTTTGTGTGAATTTAGGCAACAAATCTTTTGCCAGCCGAGGAAATTTTCTGTAAATTCAAATCAACCTTTGGACCGTTGGCTTGGATCTGAATGAGGCTTTATCTTCCCCTCGCTTCCCAGTTGCCGAGATCTCTAAACCCTAACACTAGCCAATCCACCCATTTCTCAAACGTGCCGCCGAGCGGCGCTCGCTCTCTTTACTTTTTGCCCTTGTTTCTCGCCCCCTCCACCATAGTCTTAGTCTCGTAGATGTCATCTTTTTTTTTCTTTTTGCGGGTGCGTAGATGTCATCTTCTTGGCTTTAATGTCTCCACATGTCCGATTACACCATCTCCGCCATCTCCCACCGCCCACCTAAGTCGCCGCAACCCCCCTTGGTCGCAGTCCATATATCTTGTTCAAATTCTAATTTATGTATTTAATTTCAAGCATTGATATGCACTACTACGGACTGTTTCTTCTTGTTGTTGAACAACTGATCCAACAGTTTTTGATCAAAAGGCTAAACTGAACAAAAGAAGGGGAGCAAAAGAAAAAAAAGATGAAGAAAATAAAGCTAGGAAAAGCCAAGTCTACTCTAAAACTATTCCTCCCGCATCACGAAAAGTTGACGCAGACGCTGCCGTTCTTGGCGCATCCGCACGCCGGGCACGCCTGCACTGCGGCCGCGCACGGCGCGCACACGCAGAGGTGCCGGCACGGCAGCAGCAGCACCACGGCCGCGCCGTCGCCGCACCCCTTGCACCCTCCGACTCCTGTCGGAGCCGGCGTGCCCACCTCCTCCTCCGCGCAGATGGGCACCTGGTTCTCCCCCCAGCAGCACGACTCGGCGTCGTCCTGACCGTCGCCGCCGCCGCCGCCACGGGCCGCCTGCGCGTTGAGCACCCGCTGCAGGTCGGCCCGGAGCACGTTGGCCGCGGCCTCGTGGGACTGCGCGGCGTCGCGCCACATCTGAGCCTCCATATAGAGGTTCCTGATGCGCTCCTCCAGCGCCCAGTTCATGCCCCTGACCCGCTCGATCTCGTCGTCCTTGGCCTTGAGCCGCTTCGCCGCCCTGGCCTCCACGGCCGACACGATGAGCCTCATGTGGCTCCGCCTCTGCGCCGCCAGAGCAGCCCACATCTTTCTCGCCTGCGCCGTCGACCACCTTTAATAACAAACAAAAGCTATAGAGGAAAAAAAGCCGGAAACGAGGCGATTAATTTGATCAGGGGACTCACATGTCTGTGCAGGATGTGGTCGACGGCGACGGTCTGCTGTTGCGCGTGGGCCGCAAGAACGTCGCCGGGCACGGACGACCGCTCGTCGACGCGCCTCCGCTTGTTGCCGGTGGTCATTTCCTGAGCGCCGTCGCCCTTCCTGGCCAGATCAACCGCGGCCAGAGCCAACAGCTCCGAGTGCTGATCCGCGGCCAACGGCGGCGTGAAGAGGGCCGCGGCGCCGTAGCAAGGCCCGCTCGCAGTCGCAGGCATGGCGGCGGCCGAGGCGCCCGGCCGGTTGGCGAGCTGGTGGTGGCCGCCGCCGGTGGCGAGTAACATGTGGCGCAGGCGTTGCAGGTCCACGGCCATGGCGGTCTGCTCCTGGCACTGGGAGGCCGCGCGCGGGGAGGACGCGCCTATATATACACACAGGCAGAGGCAGCCAAGGGAAGGCGATGGCGATGAGTTAGTCAGATGTGGCGATGAGTCATGTCATGGATGGATCGGCGCGAGCGCGGCCGGGGTGGCGAAGAAAGAAACAAGGAGGTCCGTCCTTAGTATTTATGGTGCGTGCGTGACCGATCGAGAAGAAAGCAACTGACGATGAGATTGACCCTCCGATTATCCTTCTCGTTTTCAGGAGCGATTTCCTTTTATTTATGCCTTCCGTTTCAATCAAAATCTGCCTTTAATAATTTGATTTAATTTGGAGTAGAAACCAAGAATATATTTGGCCGCATATACACAAGGGTCTGCAACCAACGGATGCATATATATGAAAATATATATGGGGTCGAGTTCATCGCTTGATTTGCAGAAGAAGACCAAATCATTCAAGTTAGTAGGTTGTGGCGCCAAATCAGCAGGAATCGTTGAGGCTGCTTAGATAGATCTGCACGAATCTTGGGGTCTAAGGAAACCCACAACAAAACAAATTACCACGCGCTCTCTGGACTTGGTAAAGCGCCGTGGTTAGGCTGGTCATAGTGGGGAGTAATTTAAACTAGTGTCATATACATGACACTAGTCTAAGTTACTATTTTTATAATGCAAAATAATACTCCCTCCATTCTAAAATATAGTGCGTCCGCGCTTTTCGAGGTCCAACTTTATCCATAAATTTAATCAACGAGACCAATTGTGGCGGGAGAAAAAAATTATATAATTAAAAACTTCTTTCGAATACGAATTCACTGATATAATTTTTGCTCCCGCCGCAATCGGTCTTGGTAGTTAAATTTACGGTCAAAGTTGAAACACGTGAATAGAGGAAGCACTACATTGTGGAATGGAGGGAGTATAATAGATGGCTTCATTTATTAGCTTGTAGACTCATCTTGTCTTGGGAAGCGCTATATTACAGTAACATATTATGTTACCATTTATCATTAACTACATGCTACGTAAGTAAAATTTTCTTGAAATGTGTTATGTTACTAGCTAAGTTACTCCTACTATGACTAGCCTGACTAGCCTTAGTGGAGGGCAATTCGATCGGAGAAGAAGAAGGGAAACTGCATGCATGCATGCGTTTGGCGCGTTACGTAATTAAGTTCATGCACTGTATCTGCATGCACTAGGCTCACAATTAACCCACGTACTTTAATGTGCTGATCGAGATATACTCCTAGGAGTACTATATGCGTTTTTTTGGCTGGTTATAGCTGTAGACGTACGGTTGAGAAAAAAAGAAGCACATTATAGGTATATAAATAATAAGGGAGTAAGTTAAAGCGTAGATACTGTAGTATCTATCTTTGGAGAACAATAAGGAACGAACGGCCAAACAATCAGCGAACCCTGTTGGCATGAGGAGGAAGATATCAATCCGCGAGGAGCCATGCAAAGAATCAAAGAGGAGTTCGCCATGTTTGGATATTCCACAGAAAGACGCCAAGGTTCTTCCTCTGGACACGGATGCCGACCCCTGAGGCTGGGTGTATTACAATTACGTCTGATGGAGCTTTAAACTCTGAGCTTGGTGTAGGGGGCGCTGGTGGTGTGGCGAGATCGGCGACTTCCTTTCTAGGAGCGTGGAGCAAGCTGTACCCCGGCGTGTCGGATCCACTGGTCATGGAAGCGCTAGCACTGCGAGATGCTGTCAAACTTGCTAATATTCGTGGATTCACGCGGGTGCTTATGAAGACCGACTGCCGTCAACTAGTCGAGCTATGGAATACCCGGTTGTCAGCGCGTTCTGTCGTAGCATCGCTTTTAGATGAAATTAGAGAACTATCTCTGCAGTTTAATTCCTTTGTAATTCAACATATTTGTAGATCGGCCAATGTACCGGCGCACTTGTGTGCTAAGCTAGCTTGCACGCTTAGTGTGTCGAAAAGTTGGATCGACGAGACTCTAAGCTTCCTGGTCGGTACCTTTTGGCTGACTGCAACAGGAATTCATTAGTTGAATAAAGCTCTAAAGTTTCCCGAAAAAAACAATCAGCAAACCGAACTGCTATACATATCCTGAAAACACTGGAATTAATCACAGTTTTGCTAAAGCATATCTAGATGTGCCATAAGTATTGCACATCTAAGTCATATGTCATTGATCTTACATTAAAATTCGTGTGAATATTTTCTTTCTCTTTTTTTTTCTCTTTATACTTGATTCACTCACTTAGATGTGCAATAACTAAAGCACATCTAGATGTGCCCTAGACACACCCAATTAATCAATATGATTGCAGTTTTCGCTTTCCATGCATTAATCTCATATTATTCTTGCCATAGACCTTTTTTGAAGAGATATCTTCAATGGACTTTTGTGCGCAAGGAAACAAGACTGCGCATTCAAGTGGGAGTACACGGATAATTTCACGGAGACGCTTTGGCTGCTTCTTCTACACTACTATTAAACAATCAAACACGAATTTTTTTACGTGCACCCAGCAATTAGTCCCACAACCCTGCACGAACGAATCAACACCACACGATTAGGCCCACAATTCTAAATCTAACAGCCATCATTGATCTAATACCTTTATTGTGTGCACGTAGCAATTTCCCTTGGCTGACCGTGCTCCACCAGCGGAGGAATATTCGAACTACCGATCCCGCGTGCACCCTGTCCCGTATCCTGTTCACCTTACGAAATTAAAGGCTAAAATTAAGGGCTTTCTGTTTTAGATAGGAGAGAGGATTAGTGCATGTACCTTCCAAAACACACGTCGCCCCGCATCCCACGCCCCGCGTCGGCATCCTCCATGCGTCTCATCGTCGAAGCGGGAGATGTGCCGCGCCCGGCAGCGTTCGGCGGCCGAAGGGGGGGACGTGCCGCACTAAAATCACGCCGCGTCCTGCCCCTTGTCCTCTCTCCTATCAGATGTTCGCGCGACAGGGACACCGCTCGAGGACGCCGCTGACGCAGGAATCGGTCCGCCACAGAAGCTGCAAAAACGGGGTGACCAGCCACCGTCACGGGCACCTTCATCGCGTCGCTGTCGAGGCCGGATCTGATGTTGCCCCCTCTACGTCATCTGAATCCTGCCAAGGTTGACCACTTGGGCTTTCTTTCACAGCTCACTACCGAATCGACGCTGTTAATATATCTTGCATTTCCGCCTCCTTGGCATTATCGTTTGTATTTACAGCATAAACATGATTTATATGCTCAGGTCCAGGTTGCATTCTTGGGTGAGCTGTAGATTTTGTTTCAGTGCGAGACAGTTTTTTTCTTTCATTTTTATTTTGCTCCTCATTCCGTCTAGCTAGCATAGGATTACACCACCGATCATGCTTATCAGGATTTGCTGCACAACATGGTGCCCGCACATGCCTGCATATTTTTCGGAATTTGTGTCAAAAACTGACATACTATAAGGCATACTCCCTACTAACATGCTACATGGTAATCACAAGATATATACCTATTCTCCATTCCTTTTTTGCTTCAGTTCTAGAAGAACAATTTTTTACCTTCTGTTACAATTTTTATGTGAGGAATTGTTCTCGGAAAGTTGGGTGATATACGTACGTAAATATAAGAGGTGGAATTAGCTCACACACACGCGCACGCGCACGCGCACGCGTACACGCACACGCACACGCTAATGCCCTTGTCTTCACTACTAGATTTTTCTACCACTTCACTGGCTGAGTATATTGATTTGAATGAATGTCTTCCCTTTGTTGTTGGCATTTAGCTGACTTAGCTCTCTACTTGCTTGGATTGGTTGTAGATGGGAGATCGAGTAGCATATTGATTTAGATAAAAGATAGGTTTCCAGCGTTTCGGAAAGGAGTATGGAGTTGAGTTCTAATTTTTATTACCACTGATCGCAATGGCGCAAGATGTTCCTTTGATAGTTTTATGTGGGTACGAGTTTCTTCTGAAAGTACATATGGCTAAATGTTGATCTTCAATGTTATTTCATGGTAGCCTTTGTTCTAAGGAAAATATGCTTATTAGTACTCTTGATTATTTATGTTATTTTTGCAGGCTTTCTCTCAGCTTTGTTCTCAGCAGTGGGCTTTGCTGATGGTTTTGTCCAAAATAAGGTATGGCATGCATGGATTAAATCTTGAATTTCGCTACTAAATATTTGTACTAAACATGGTGTAAGTCGCTTGTCAGTTTTGCCTCATAATCCTAGCTCTCATTGGTTGAGTTTCATGATGTTGCTTACATTTTACTGAGGATATCCTCTAAAAAACGATTTTTATATCTGTGGTCTTTTTAGTAATGGGCACTGTAACTTAAAAATGTTGTGTATTTTTGTACTCGCATGTATAGTATTTTGATGGAAACATGCATGCTTCTGTGGTATACTATGGTGGACTATCATGCTTGATGGGAAGAGGTATGCTGTTACTTGACTACACATTTATCTTCTGATGATCTTGAACCGTGTGTTTCAAAATAGATTGACATAGTAGCACACTATCTCGCCCTTCTCACTAATTCTAGGGGCATAGGTTATATCTATTTTACCGGCCAGTGCAATTTACAGGTTGCATTTCACGGCATGTTGTTCTATCCTTCACTTATTTTTCAGGTTTAGCAACCTTTTTTTGCTGGTTGGTGTCAACATGGCTGAATAGGTTCTTGAGTTGTTGTACTAGCATTTTATTTCAACTGAGATCTATAATTTTCTGATTGCTAGCTAACAAAAGTAACTTGTAAAGTATGGTACCATGTCATATTATATATGAATGTAATCTTGCATGTTTTTTGTTATAATTTACTTACATTTTCAGTAAGTACTTAAAGTATATGGCAAATATGAGACATGCTTGCGAATCATCTTCTATTTTACTGATTTACTATGAAAGTATTGGTCTCCAATGTTGCGTGCGGACCAATGAGCAGCTCAATACCTTTTCAGTAGTGAATAAGGATAAAGAGGATGAAGACAATAAAAGACATTTCAACCGTGATGCGATAGTGTTGTACAAGTGGATTTATTGCTTGGTTTTTATAACCCCTTTCCTTTTTATTATTATGCATTAGCGCCTTGTAATAGAAGATTTCTCACAATCAGATTTGAAGTGAGTCTACATAAGTCAAAAGATGGTTGGACATTGTTGTCCAAAACGTTATGTTCGATATACTCCACCAGAATTCATCGTTTATCTGTGGTCATATGCTCTTTTACCAATTGTTTATTCATTTTATATTATATTTATTTCCTGCTCATAGTCCGTTTCACGAGAAGAAACACAACAACTTTCAAGGAAACGCATGCCGGCGGGAGAGAGATGATCGGACGGACGGACGGGCGGACAGACGTGTCATGCGCCACGCGAATAGCTCCACGTGCAGTGCGGTGGCACTTGCTCTGGCACTACCGGTCGATCTGAACAAAACGTTTGGCATGTCCCGAGACGTGCCACGCCTGCATGCCGGGCCAGCGGCGTGGCACTTGTCATGTCACACGCGCTTGGGGCTGGTACAAGTATCCTGATTAGCGCATCCCAATGTCGAGCCTTAAAAAATAAAAAAGACACAATATTTGTCGACCGTATGGAGCCGGTTATCCAACACTGTCCCAAAACGTCTGCCAATACTAACCTAAAAGATCAGCTAACATATTTCGTATAGTTTATATTGAAGAAAAATAATAACGAAACATGGCCGGGTGGATCAGATCGTGGGAGGAAGAAGGCAGTTGAGAGGTGGAAGACGACGTGTGAGCCGTTGGATGAAGATCCAACGACAGAAAAAAGAAGTGACTGGTGCTTGATATATTTTCAGGTATCTGAGGTTTAGTCGCTCCCCTACAACAAGGTAAATCATCAGCGTTGATCAGTTTAGCTAGGTTTCTGTGACTGGCATGGCCTCTTGGGCTTAACCGATCAGTCTTGTGTGTTCTCGCGGCTCATGCACTTCTTCCAGAGCTCACAGGGGACAGTAGCAAGCTCGGGGCCGGCGATCTGCCGGATCTCTCCATGACCAGGTGCGGTGACCAAGTGCCACTGCAGCTTCGACGCCTAGCTCGACTAAACGCACGAGGTGGACGTGGCTAATTAACCGGAGGTTGACACTGCTAGCTAAGTCGCCGCTGGAATCTCGACGGCGTTGGTCGACGGGATTCGTCTGTGTCTTGTGTCCCTCCCCCACTCGCCCTACCCAAACTCCCAAGCACACAGTCAGTCAACCCCTGCAAAGTCAGTCAACCCCGCTCCTCCTCCTCCTCTTCTGCGACTATGGGTCTGATTGGTTGGATATTAGTATGGCCAAGCCAAAGTGTGGCTAGCCATACAAGTATGGCTGTGAAATTGGACGCCAAACTTTGGCAAAAGTTAACAAAAAAATTATCTTTATGATAAATAGGCCATTTGGGCAATAAAATATGGTAAACCAAAGTGTGGCAAAAACCAAACACATGCCAATTACACTGTGGCTGTCAAATTTTGGCTTGGCAAACTGTGGCTGAGAACCAAACAGCCCTTATATAAACGCAACCGCGCCGATGACCAAAACCCAAATACATCAGTCAGTCAATTACTCCATGCAAGCTCGTGGCATGTCGCAGCAACGCCGCCGCAGCGCCGCCCCCGCCGCGCTGCTGGCGCTGGCGGTGCTGCTGGGGACGTCGCCGCCCGACGCAGCGGCTCAACAAGGTCCGTCCTGGCGGCCCCTCGTGGCGCGTGTCAACAAGGACGCCGCCACCTCCCTCTACACCATCGCCATCAAGGACGGAGGAGGGCCGCTCCTCCTCGAACTCGCCGGCCCAATGCTCTGGGTCGCCAACTGCCCCTGCACGCACTGGGCCATCGGGTGCGGCGGCAGCCACTGCGACGGCTTCCGCAATATGTTCACCCCGGATGCCTGTGATAGTGCAGAATGGCCGGCGCAGGGGCAGGACACGTGCATCTGCACCGCCTTGCCGTACAACCCGGTCGACGGGCGCTGCGTCGCCGCCCAAGCCACCACCATCTCGATCGCTGCCAACACCACGGACGGCAAGAACCCGCTCTCCCCGGTGACCTTCCCCGTCGTCGGGTCCTGCGCGCCGGGGGATTTCCTGGCCTCGCTCCCGGCGGGCGTGGCCGGCGTCGCCGGGCTCGCGAGGCTGCGTAACTCTCTGCCGTTGCAGGTCGCGCAGTGGTACAGCCTGAAGCAAGAGTTCGCGTTGTGCCTGCCCAGGGGCGGGGACGGCGTGGCCGTCTTCGGCGGCGGCCCGTTCCAGCTCCTGGCCGCGCCGACCGTGGAGCTCGCCGACAGCCTCCGCAAGAAGCCTCTCCCGTTCCTCTTCAACCCCAAAAACCGCGCCTACTACTTCACCATCACCGGCATCGCCGTGAACCAGCAGCGCGTGCCCACGCCGCCCGGCGCCTTCGACTTGGAAAGGAGAGGCCAAGGCGGCGCCGCCTTCAGCACCGTCACGCCCTACACCGCGCTCCGCTGGGACGTCTACTGGCCGCTCCGCAACGCGTTCGACGCGGCCACCAGCGGCATCGCGCGCGCGGACAAGGTGGCGCCGTTCGACATGTGCTACCAGGCGTCGGAGCTCGCCATGACCAGCGTGGGCTACGCCGTGGCCAGCATTGACCTGATGCTGGACGGAGGCCAGAACTGGACGCTGCCCGGCGCCAGCTCGCTCGTGCAGGTGAACGACCGGACGGTGTGCTTCGCGTTCGTTCAGACGGATTCGTCGGTGCCGGCACATGCTGAGTCGCCGGCGGTGATCCTCGGGGGGCACCAGTTGGAGAATAACCTGCTGATGTTTGATCTGGACAAGGACACGTTCGCGTTCAGTGGGCTGCTGCTCGGCATCGGCACTACCTGCAGCAACTTCGACTTCAGCATCGGGAGTTCTTAGAAGCAGTAGTGTCACTGATCTTGCGAGTCGAGCTAGCTAGCGCCGGAGTGCCACCGTCTGTACTCGAGTACGGTTTCGTTTCAATATTACTAGCGTACTAGTGTTGTGTTAGCAACGAGAATAAAGTAATACATCGTCAAGGATTTGAGATTTTTAACACATTGTGCTATCTGATTTTTGATGCCTGATTCTCATGCGCTGCACAAAATGGGTTGACAAATTCATGTGAATATTGCACAAGTTTAAATTGCACACCTTTGTCCAATGAAAAAAATAGCCTCAGGGCGTCAAATCAGCGCAGAAATTCAAACGGCCAACATTCAGACCTAGTCTTGAGATTTCGAGGCCCCGGGACGAAACTAGAACATGGGGCCTAACAAGGGTGGACACGTTCATGGGAGTGGGTGCCTAGGACCCCACCCAAAATATGAAATTCACTCATTCTACATAATTTCTGTGTATCCATGAAAAAAATATCAAAACTAGATGAATGTTTGCAAAAGGTGCCCCCACTCCTATAGTTTGCATCCACTTAAAATAGTTTCAAGGTCCGCTCCTGGGCCCTAACATTTTTAGATGCAAAGTCACTAATTGTGTATCTTCTGATCATAACTGCGGCACCGCGGCGCGGCTATTTGTCAAGACAGAGATGGTTCTTACCTAGGCTCTTCAGTGCTTGTGATCCAAGGTTTGCTTGATGCAGCCACTCTAGAAGCAATAGCGTGCAGGGAAGTGTTATCACTTGCAGAAGATCTAAACTCGCAACACTTTCATATTGCATCTGACTGCACAGAAGTGGTGAATGGAATACGGGTCAATTTTGGAGGAGTTTTCGGAGGAATCATTAGGGAGATAAAGCAAAGAGCAATGTCTTTTATTTTCATATAATTTCGTGCATGAATTTCGAGCAACAATTCATGAAACTCATATAAGGTAGCTAGGTTTGGTACTACTCTCCCCGAGGGGAGACATATTTGGTAGGGGTCACCTGACGATGCTCTTGTTATACATGTAAATATTGATATGAGTTAATAAAGCCTGGCTGTCTTTCTAAAAAAGAGAGAGAATTGGAGACACACCTTCGCACGATGGCCTATGGTAGCGATGCGGTCTCCTCTCAGCGACTTTAGCCTCTCGAGACAGCCGCAAGGTGCCAGCGATGGGCGTCTACAGCCAAGGCTAAAATAATTTCTGCATGTAAAAAATACATCATGCTGAACTAAAATAATTTTGTTTCTGTAGTTGGGAAAGCTTATATCTAAAATTTAAAACATAGAATCTTGTGCAAACAGATTGTGATCATGACGAAACAGTAGATGATTTTACTGTTAGCAATTATGTTTTTCTAAAAATTGAAGTAACGTGTTGTCAATTGTTTTTTTGCTTTATTTTAAAAAATATAACTCCAAATATTATAATAAATATATTAAAATAAATACTTTAGATAAACATCGAGACAAATGTTGAGCAAGCATTTAAAAATGTTCAATTTGTATAGAGAAAATGTTTCTCGTGTAGATGAAAAACATATACAATGTGTGTGAAAAAAAGTTGATCGTGTATTTGAAAACATATTTAAAAATTATTTGAAAAATGTTAATCAAGCATTTGGAAAATGTGAAACGTGTATAAAAATATGTTCAGCGTGTATTAAAAAATGTTAAACTTGTATTTGTAAAATTTTACATGTGTAAACAGAAAATGTTGACCATGTATTCAGAAACATTAAACTTGTATTTAAAAAATGTTAAATGTGTATAAAATGTTGACCATGGATTCAAGAAATGTTAAACTTGTATTTAAAAAATGTTAATCAAGCATTTGATTTTTTCAATGTGTATAAAAATGTTGACCATGCGTTCAGGAAATGTTAATATGGTATTTGACAAATGTTAATTCAGAATTTGAAAAATATTAAATATGTATTAGATATATACAAAAAAGGTGTATAGAAAAGCAGTGGAACTAGAGAGAAAACAAGAAAAAATGATGATAAATGAGAAAGAGACAAACAAAACCAAAGTATTAAAAAGGAAAGAAAAAAAACAGGAAAAAACAATAAAGAAAACCAAAGAAAAAGAAAGAGCCAGTAACACAGAGAAACAAACAAAGAAAACCCGGTGAAAAGACAAAGAAAAGCTAGAAACAAAAGAACCCGGAAAAAACAATGGAAACCGACTATTTTCTTCTCAAGTTGCTCCCGCCCTAGTATTCACCACGGACCCAACGCGGCTAAATTTCGTGTTTTGACCCTTTTCTGAAACCTATTCGAGATTTGACCTTACTTTGAAAAAATTTCGAGATCTGACCCTTTTGCTACCGCCAGGGACCATGGCGGTAGGGTATAACAGCCTACCGCCAAGGTCCCTGGCGGTAGGGTTGCATGCTCTACCGCCAAAAACCTCCTAAGTATTGAACACAATGCGTGCTCGTGCCTACCGCCAAGCACCTTGACGGTAGGGTTGTGCAGTCTATTGTTGGAAATATGCCCTAGAGGAAATAATAAATTGATTATTATTATATTTCCTTGTTCATGATAATCGTTTATTATCCATGCTAGAATTGTATTGATAGGAAACTCAGATACATGTGTGGATACATAGACAACACCATGTCCCTAGTAAGCCTCTAGTTGACTAGCTCGTTGATCAATAGATGGTTACGGTTTCCTGACCATGGACATTGGATGTCATTGATAACGGGATCACATCATTAGGAGAATGATGTGATGGACAAGACCCAATCCTAAGCCTAGCACAAGATCATGTAGTTCGTATGCTAAAGCTTTTCTAATGTCAAGTATCATTTCCTTAGACCATGAGATTGTGCAACTCCCGGATACCGTAGGAGTGCTTTGGGTGTGCCAAACGTCACAACGTAACTGGGTGGCTATAAAGGTACACTACAGGTATCTCCGAAAGTGTCTGTTGGGTTGGCACGAATCGAGACTGGGATTTGTCACTCCTTGACATCGTGGTTCATCCGATGAGATCATCGTGGAGCATGTGGGAGCCAACATGGGTATCCAGATCCCGCTGTTGGTTATTGACCGGAGAACGTCTCGGTCATGTCTACATGGTTCCTGAACCCGTAGGGTCTACACACTTAAGGTTCGATGACGCTAGGGTTATAGGGAATAGTTATACGTGGTTACCAAATGTTGTTCGGAGTCCCGGATGAGATCCCAAACGTCACGAGGAGTTCCGGAATGGTCCGGTGGTAAAGATTTATATATGGGAAGTCCTGTTTTGGTCGCCGAAAAAGTTTCGGGGTTTATCGGTAACGTACCGGGACCACCGGGAGGGTCCCGGGGGTCCACCAAGTGGGGCCACAAGCCCCGGAGGGCTACATGGGCCAAGTGTGGGAGGGGACCAGCCCCAGGTGGGCTGGTGCGCCCCCCCACAAGGGCCCAAGGCACCTCCAAGAGGGGAAGGGGGCAAACCCAAGGGCAGATGGGCCCTAAGGCCCACCCCAGGTGCGCCTCCCCCTCTCCCCCTTGTGGCCGCCACCCAAATGGGATCTGGGGGCTGCCGCCACCCCTAGGGAGGGAACCCTAGGTGGGGGCGCAGCCCCTCCCCTTTCCCTATATATACTTGAGGTTTGGGCTGCCCAATACACATGAGTTCCTCTCTTTCTTGGCGCAGCCCTATCCCTCTCTTTCTCCTCATATCTCGCAGTGCTTGGCGAAGCCCTGCTGGATCACCACGCTCCTCCTCCACCACCACGCCGTTGTGTTGCTGCTGGATGGAGTCTTCCTCAACCTCTCCCTCTCCCCTTGCTGGATCAAGGCATGGGAGACATCGTCGGGCTGTACGTGTGTTGAACGCGGAGGTGCCGTCCGTTTGGCACTAGGATCTTCGGTGATTTGGGTCATGACGAGTACGACTCCTTCAACCCCGTTCTCTTGAACGCTTCCACTTAGCGATCTACAAGGGTATGTAGATGCACTCTCCTTCCCTCGTTGCTGGTTTCTCCATAGATAGATCTTGGTGACACGTAGGAAAATTTCGAATTTCTGCTACGTTCCCCAACAGTGGCATCATGAGCTAGGTCTATTGCGTAGATTCTATGCACGAGTAGAACACAAAGTAGTTGTGGGCGGTGATTTTGTTCAATATGCTTACCATTACTAGTCCAATCTTGATTCGGCGGCATTGTGGGATGAAGCGGCCCGGACCGACCTTACACGTACTCTTACGTGAGACTGGTTCCACCGACTAACATGCACTAGTTGCATAAGGTGGCTAGCGGGTGTCTGTCTCTCCCACTTTAGTCGTATTGGATTCGATGAAAAGGGTCCTTATGAAGGGTAAATAGCAATTGGCATATCACGTTGTGGTTTTTGCGTAGGTAAGAAACGTTCTTGCTAGAAACCCATAGCAGCCACGTAAAACATGCAAACAACAGTTAGAGGACGTCTAACTTGTTTTTGCAGGGTATGCTATGTGATGTGATATGGCCAAGAAGAATGTGATGAATGATATGTGATGTATAAGATTGATCATGTTCTTGTAATAGGAATCACGACTTGCATGTCGATGAGTATGACAACCGGCAGGAGCCATAGGAGTTGTCTTTATTTATTGTATGACATGCGTGTCATTGAACAACGCCATGTAATTACTTTACGTTATTGCTAACCGTTAGCTGTAGTAGTAGAAGTAATAGTTGGCGAGACAACTTCATGAAGACACGATGATGGAGATCATGATGATGGAGATCATGGTGTCATGCCGGTGACAATGATGATCATGGAGCCCCGAAGATGGAGATCAAAAGGAGCAAAGTGATGATGGCCATATCATGTCACCTTTTGATTGCATGTGATGTTTATCATGTTTTTGCATCTTATTTGCTTAGAACGACGGTAGTAAATAAGATGATCCCTCATTAAAATTTCAAGAAAGTGTTCCCCCTAACTGTGCACCGTTGCGAAAGTTCGTCGTTTCGAAGCACCACGTGATGATCGGGTGTGATAGATTCTTACGTTCACATACAAC